CTTCAGTCTAGTCAACATGTCAGTAAATATTCCTATTTCTTGTTCTGCAAGCTCTGAAAATAGACAGAGAATATCAAATGCATGCCAGAAGGCTGGATTACTTTTCTTTTCATGTGGTTTCCTCCTCTGCAATTGCCTCAGATATATCTGAAAGGACAAAACAGTCTTGATCTATGTGGTACAGGAGCTTCAAACACACGTAGTTGAAAAAAGATCTTTTCTTCAGCGTCCTTTAGCTTCCTATCATTTGTCCAGCTATCAGTCACTGCTGTAGCACCACAAGCTGATGAGTTTCACCAGTCTCCTGCCCATCAGCTGACAGGTGTATTTCATGGTGAAGCTGAATAAGGTCTTGCAGGTAACTGTGGCCTTTCCCAAGATGTGCTGGGTGCAGCCAGCTGTGCATTTAGGATGATGGTGACATTGTTGATAATGTACCAACTTGTTGTATGCATTGCATTCTTTTATCTTCTTCTTTCCATCTGCTCAAGGATAAGCTAATCTATTTCAACCAGATTTAGTTACACATCAGCACTACCTAGTCTTGGATACTGTGTGTCAAAATATTTCTTGCCAGTTGTTTCTCTGGTACCCTGCAATGCCATCCCTTTTCTGGGACTCTTCTATCAGTAGCCTGGTTCAACAGGAGAAAGGTAGGGAATAGGCAGCATTACAGTCAGTTTCCCAGCACATCATGTAGTTTTGTAGGAGATCGTTTCTGGTACCAGAGGACTGCAAACTATTTTGAATGCCTTCAGTCTGTGTTTCCTGACCTAGACAACTGCCTGATTAAAGGGACTTTCAAAGGACCAAATCTCCCAATGCATAAAATTTGCAGCTGTTGGACTCCTTGACTCTGAGGATAAGAGGCAAGAATAACAAAATGCTGGTCAGACAATTTCAGAGTCCACCAATATCCTTCCTTCCCAAGTTAGTCAATAAATATGAGATCTTACACTTCAGCTGAAGTCATGTGCAGGTGACTATCACTCTTGTGGCCAGACAAACCCTTCAGGCATGTCTGGATCTGTATTAATCTTCTTTCCTCCATATGAGTCATTTGTGATAAGGAAATGTAGACAAGATTAAATTTCTATTAGACAGATGTATAACTGGTTGGAAAGCTGTTCTCAAGAAACAGTTAATTATGCTTCACTGTCAGACAGGATGCATTAAAGCATGTTCTCCAGGGACTATACAATATTTAATTCATGATTTAAAAGATGGAATTAGCATTTAATACTAGTGATACTACCTGGAAAAATGCTACAAGATAGTATTATGATTTTAAGAAATTATTTTAAGAATTTGGTTCCAAGAATGACGTGAAGGGACAATAAATATGAATACTAACTTCTGCGTTTATGCAGAAACTATCTTTTGCATAAACACAAGTGAGGAAGGACTGACTAAGCAACAGTTCTGAACTGGAGATGATAGGTGGATCACAAGTTGCTCATGAGACAGCAGCATACCTTTATAAAATATGTAACTGTTGTACTGGGATATAAGTAGAAAGGAAGATTATTTGTAAAGCATAGGAAGTGGTTCTTTTATTCTTCTTGATACAGGAAAAGGCTTCTCTCTGGTTTGGGACACCACAACTGGAGAAGGATTCTGACCAACTGGACAGGTTCAAGAGGAGAACAAAAGAATGATCAAAAAGCTAGAAAATATAACTTGTGAGAAAATATTGAATAAATCTGAAGAAGAGGAAACTGAGGAAATAAATTTGTCTTCAAAATATAGAAGAAGTTAAAAAGAGAAGAAAATAAAGCTTTTTCTATGTCCACTGCAGAACAAGTTCAGGTGAAATAGCAACAGAAGATTTCTAACTCTATTTTTGCTCTTAGATAATGAGGCACTGAGACACATTGCCTGGGAAAGTTCTGAAGTCCTCATCATGTTCAAGAACAGGTAAATCAGATATCTGTGAGGGATAGTTTTAAGTTGATTCTTTGGGCCAATAGAATAGTCTTGATGACTTTTCATGCTCTCCTCAGCCCCATTTTCTATTAACATCTATGATTTTTTTCTCAAAAGTTAATTAGTAAGATCTGCTCCTCCCAATTCCATGGCCAGGGAGGCTGCTGTCCCCTCATTCTGTCTGATTTTCTGATTTCCACTTGTGAGTAGGCAAGAGAATCCCTATTGCTGCTCATGATAGGATAGCTGAAGCAGCTGTGGTAGCAAAGAAACATATTTGTCTATCAATGAAATGTCCCAGGACTATGCTTTTCTCTCAGTGTGTCATGAGCCTGTGTGTACTAAATGACCTGTGTCACTTGGGGCCCCTACCCACACCTGTGGGCACAAGAGCCCCAGTTCAGCTCAACCCTGGGCTTTTCATCCATGCCTGAGCTATGCAGTGAGGGTACTGATCTTCAGCTCAGCTACAGCCATGTCGGTATGTTACCACAGATGTTGATCCAGACCCTAACTCACAGGCTGACTTCCCAGCTTGACCTCAGATCTGCCTCATCACCATGAACTCCTCTGATGATATGCACTCGTGGCTGAACAAGTCTCAGGTCTGCTCACTTCCCTCACTGAGGCACTGTGGGGCTGGGCCCTGGCTGGCGAGGCCCCTCATCACTGACTGTGTTATTGCAATTAGCTCATGGCCACCCTTCACTCGGGGAGCAACCGGCCTTTGCTGAACCCTGACAAGGTCTGCTAATGCAGGACTTTGCAGCCCTCTGCCGTGTCAGTTTTGCTCTGTCCCATCTCATGCCATAGCTGCTGGATAGGTCTTGTCACCAGAAGATCTGTGATTTTCTTTGGTGGGAAAGTTCTTGTCAACAGTGTGAAGAGCAGCAGGAGATGCACGAAACTGGCAGAATGGGTCAGGATGTCAGGCTGATGTCAGGTCAGCCTCTCCTACCAGGTGCCACTCACAGTCATCCTGGACTGTTTGCTGGTACAAAAGGAGTTAATTTCTGTCTTTAGTTTTGGTGATGTTCTTTCCTTGTCAAGTCTTCAGCTCTCCCTATATCATATATATATATATATGAGTGTGTGTGTATACATACACACATAAATATTTACATGTATCACCAGCTGTGCCAGTTTCCTGGGAGGTGGTTAAGCCATCCTGCATGTAATCAATCTTCAGGTGTCCACTGACTGAATCAGGTTATTTGCTTATGCCTCAGACCCAAGTGTCCTGGGCTAGCCTTTGGAAGTTTTTCCTAGTTAAGACTTCAGCCAGGAAGCCAGATGAGAGCCAAACCCTTTTTGGATCCAAATGGCTTCCTTCCAGAACATGTGTTCCTGCACACCTCTCATAAGCTTCTCCCAAACAGTTTTGGTCTCTTCATGTTATCTAGTGGACTGACATACTTCCATTCTTTCTCGAAGGAAGAAATTTCCAGAGGTGTTTTTGGACTTTTGTTGTTAAGAGGCCTTTGACTTTTTACCTCCACAGAACCAGGTCTTTCAGATACAGAGTTGTTTGTGTCAGCAGCTGAGAGGTTGAAAGTCAGGAGTGCCAAGCAGGATAACCACCAGTGAAACCTGTTATGAAAACGCCAAAAAGGAGCCACCCTCCAAAATTAATACACATTCCATCAGAGCTCAGTCTAAATTAGTGGCTTTCTTGGGTGATATATCCATTGCTGACATCTGCTGAACTACTACCGGGAGTTCCCTCCACACCTTTACCAAGTGTTTTGCCATTTCAGAAGCATCCAGGTATAATACAGTGTGTGGTAACATGTTTTTGCAGTGGTTGATGCATGAAGCATGCTATGACTCCCTACACTGTGATTGTTAGGAATCACTGCAGTATAAATATAAATATGGATAATCTGTATTAATAATTTCTGTTTTGAAGATTAAAAAAATATTTACGTACCAGTTAATGAAACTGTCAAAGGTGTGCTGTTTATGACATGCTCCCTTCACTCACTACTTCTCCATGGTGTCTGAGTCTTTCTCAGAACTCTCAGCCTTAGTATTCTGTGACAGAAAAGGAAGCTAGATAGTCTCCATGTTATGAATGTAGCAAAGCCAACAAGCCTGATAGAAAGGAAGTGGAATGTAAGCTAGTCTGGTGAATACTGCGTGGATATGAAGCTATCTGTCTCAAGTTTTTTCAGGACATACAATGTGCACACGTATGTAAGATGTATACACAGATACAGGTATTTGTGAAAAACTTTCGTCTTGCTATTGCAGGTTTCAGCTCAGAAAGTAGATCTTAATGCAAGATAGTAAGAGTCCGTCCTTTTGAACATGTACATGATAATGCCCACTAATAAACAGAGATTGATTTCTTCTAATAAGAACATTACTTCTTATTACTACATTTAGTAGAAGATCAGAAATCACCTTAGATACTGTGATTCCTGGAACAGCGATGAACCATTTCAGCAAAAAGATCAGCCTGTGTGATCATGCTGTCATAAGGCTTGACATCACTGCTCTTGACTGGACCACTCCCCTTCTCTTCAAGTAATACTACTGATTTCAGCAGCAGTATTTGAAGAGAAAGAGGGTGCGTCACAGTATGAGAATGGGTGGTACAACTTGTCCTGTAATCCTTTACTGTGAAATTGCTGGGGGGTGGGAAGGCAACAGCATTTATTTCAGAGTAAGAATAATATTGCTGAAGTCTCTTATTAACATTGGAAATAATATTTTAGTGAACTATAGGGAACACTGTAGTACATGGCCATGGCTAGACACACTGGAATGAAGTGAAGCTCATCACCTTTGGATGTCTTCCATCTAATTTTATTCTCTGAAGCTACATCTGTTCTTGCACAAAGAGGAGGATAATCTAGGCAGATCTGGATAAAGTCGTAGCCCCTGACTGCAGGGCTTGCTCTTATGGCTGGCTCTTTTTCAGGGCACAAAAATGAAAGAGTCCTGTGGCCTACCATGTTGTATGTATGCACATGGACCTACCTATCTTCATTTTACTTTTGCAAATGTTTGTTTCTTTTAGTTTGTGAATATTGTGTAATGTTTTTTCATTTTGTTTTTTTTTCTTTCAGAATGTTCTAATTGTGGAGGTAAGTTGGGTGCTTATGTCATATTGTGCTTAGTTAAAATCACATAGTCAAGTCATGATGGTGTGTTCAGTTTCTAAAACCTGTCTGTGTTTATGCTTCTGTAGCTGGGAGGTGGTGAAGAAGGAGAGGGATTGATTTGCTTAATGACTTCTCAGTCTTTTTGTATCTGCATGACGGATCAAACTACATTGCTGCCACTCTAATTTGCGCTCTGCCTTGTGATACCCAGGAGTCTTTGTTTCTGCATCATTTGATTTGTCCTTTCTATGGTTTCATCAACTCCTGTTCTGCAAGTTGTTCTGTTCCTTGGAGGACAAGGAACCAACTGCAGTGACACCCTGCATTTCTCAGTTGCATGACTTTGAAATAGTAGCACAGCCCTGAAGACAGTTTACATGCTGGTTGAGAATGTCAGTCAGTCCCTCAAGCCCCTGTGACTCTGCTCATTAGCATTGCATCCTGCAGTGTCCCCTGGGAGGGCCCATCGCAGATATGTTGCTGACATACATCAACAGTGTTCAGTTGTAGAGGAAAAGAATGTGTCACCTCACTGGTGCTGCACATTCTCTCTTAATGTAGGTGATTCTCTTTTAAAATGTTGGAAAAGCAACTGGGATGGTTAGAGAGCATGTCCAGATGTGACTGGCATTTTGGGCCCAGTCTGCTTGTGTGGGAAGTAAGCTGGATGGTGTAATGAAGGAAATGCATGAACACTGGAATGTCTTTTCTTAGCAAAGGAGGGAAAACTATCATCAGACACAGAGATGGCTCGTTAACCGAGTAACTGCTATGAGCTCTGTATTTGCTAATGCCAACTGCTGTAACAGAAATGGAAAACATCCCCAGCAAATTTTGTTAGTGCTGTTAGATAGCTGGAGAGCAGCTAATGAAAAGTCCACACCCACAATGTTCAGGATCAACGGCTGCTCTCCATGTCATCGTCAGTTTTGTAGCCAGGTATCTACTGATCTCATTCAGATCAGGTTGGGTACAGCAGCTCTGGAGAATACTCATTGGTACTGGACTAATGTGAGCTCAATTATGACCTTTTTTGGATGTGGCTAACAACACACTGGGAAAAATACATCATTTCCACAAAATAATAATATGGAATTGCTTAGTCATTGTCCAGATTTCCTCTTTTCAGCTTTCCTTTGTTTTTTACTTATTCTGTTTGTCATGTTTTGTAAGGATATTGTTGGAACTGGAAGGACTATGAAGGTTCTGCTTAATAATATAGAAAAATACAAGCCAAAAATGATTAAAGTGGCAAGGTGAGTAAAACAATCACAAAACTTAGTAATTAATTAGCCTAGCCCAACATATTTTCCAGCAGAGGTTCCCATTCTGAGATCCTGCTTTAATTCAATGCTGCAGTATCGCATGGGGAGCTTTGGAGAGAAGCTGCGTGACTCAGTAAGAGGAGGATGGAGGAAAGGAGGGGAAATGCTTTTATATTGCTCTGCAGTGGCAATGACCCTTCAGCCTTCTCAAGGCTGGCACTGATTGACTTTGAGGGGGAACAGACCCATCTCTTTCCTGCCATCAGGACATTTTCAGGAGGAGAAGCAGAACAAGAACAGTGATTCACGTAGCTCAGAAGTTTTTTGATAAAGGGAATAGTTTTTATTCATGTTATTCAGGTAAATATCTAGAGTTACATGGTTTTTATTTTGTTTTTAATTACAGTTTGTTGGTGAAAAGAACATCTCAGCCTGATGGGTACAGACCAGATTGTAAGTGTTGTTGTGAAAATCTGTACATAACAGTACAAGATGCTACCACTGTTCTACCACTTGCCTTACGTATCATTCTATGGACTGCTAGAAGCATTGTAAAATATCAGTTGTCAATAGGAGTATGGGATGTAATGGAAGGATTTGTATAATTGTGGTTTGGAAAGCCTAGCCTCTTTACAGTCTGAGGTTTTCTGCAGAGTACAAACTTTACAGAGAAGTTATGAAAGGGTTTAATTTTATCCATTAAAGGTGAGTGTGTTATCTTCTGTCTCTGACAAACTATATAGAAGAGAAAGTCCATTTCTTATTTTCCTTCCTCATTGTGTCTCTTTAGAGGAGCCAAAGGATTCCATCTGAACATGAAAGGTGTTTTATGGTGGCCTAGTTATTCACAAGTTTTACATTTTCATAACAGAATAACATTTTTTATTATTTTTTGAAAAGTATTATTATTGTTTAAAGGGTAAACAATTATATTATAATTAAATCTCACCCCCTAAAAAGCAAAAGATAAATTGGGCTTTTAAAACTTCCTCCTGCTGCTCTGTTTGTGTCACACCAGCACCACTTCCCTCTGAATTGTTGGTACTTGTACTGTGCTATGATGAAGCTGTAAATGGACCAATACCAAGCTATCGTCATTTTAGACTTATTAGAATAAATGATGTAATAACAGGTATATAGCTAAATACTGAAAAGAATAGATCCTTCTAGAAGAGATCAGCCAGTATTTGCTACTGAAGAAGGCTCTGGTCAGCGGAGCTGGGGAGCAGGGTAGAACGAGAGTAGGCAAGTGAGTACCAGGAGGCAGCATGAAGGGTCTTGATTTGGGATGTGGGAGAGAGGGATACTTTGTGAAGCTAAAGTTACTCAGTGTTGGGCATGCCCCCGTAGTTTTAGACCAATAATCTGAATGGTGACCCAAACATTTTGTTGTACAACTTTTTTACAGTGGTATTTTTAACATTTAGAATTTAATCCAGTAAATTAAAGTATGTATTTGACTGGATCCACTTATGTTAAATGTATAAAAAACAATAAAATTACTTCATGAAGGGTAGCTTAATATTCTTTCTTTAATAACTTTTTTAATTAAATAAAAAGATCTCTCTTGTAAATAATGGACAGTGCTGTGTCATTTCCTCACCCAAATTCATCATTTCAAAGTGTCTATTACCCATAGTTTTTAACAATTGAATAAATTCCTTACTTAAACAGCTGTAAAATTTTTTATGCTGACCTATTTTTGTGTCCATAAGGTTGTGTTTTTCTCTAGTTACTTAGTGAACAATTTGGAAAGAATCTAACTTGGTTTATAGAGTGCTGATACTGCAGAGACATTCACACTCAAAAAGATATGTGCCTATGCTTAGCTTCAACTGTGTGAATTGAATGATTCAGCTACACTGCATGCATTTACTTTGTCAAGCATGTGCATGAGTCTTCATAAGGTTGGGGCTTTAATTTAAAGAAGCATTTGACATGCTTTGGTGGCATAATATGCAAAACAGTTTTTGCTATTCTCAGAAGAAAATATATGTCTCTAAAAGTTACTTCTGAATTAAAATTGTACATTTTTTTCATCATTAGTGTCATACTGGACAGTTGTCATCATACACATATATCAATGGAGCTTCCAAACATAGGCAGAATTTTCCAGCTCTGATTTTGGCTTCCTGCTGTAATGTGTCTTTTGTGCCACTGATGAATGTACACAGCTCTCCTACTGTCCACCGACTATTCACATTCCTGTCACAAATAGTCTGTGAGCGAGAACTGGTTATAGGGCTTCTGCTGGCCTTGATGTTTCAGAGACAAAAGTAACATAACCTCAACTGACTACATATATCTATAGTTCGGTGTCAGAGAACCAACACATGAATTTAAGGGCTATAATTGACACTGCTCGTGTATTGATGGTGTTTGTTATTTGTCTCAATACAGATTACGGATTTGAAATTCCAGATTTATTTGTGGTAGGTTATGCCTTAGACTACAACGAGCACTTCAGAGATTTAAACGTAAGTTTATTTAAAAAAAAATAGTTCTACAATGTCACCATTTCACTTTTCCAGGGTGTCTTAAATACCCCATAACTTGCCTTGTCCCTGGGGCCTTAATGTCATGGTTGGGATCCTTTCAGTAAGTCAGTGTAGAGCTCCCTGCAAAACCTCAAATAATCCAAAGGAGTCACTGCTCAGCACTGTGAGTGGTTCCTTCCCATCTCTTCCCCCTTGAAAGTGGAAGTCATACCTCTGCTACACTTCCATCTTCTGTGAGCCTAGGATTTCACAGGCCCACCATTCTCAGTACGTGCAAAGACAGCAGTAAAATGTGAAACACAGCTACAGTTCAGATAGGTTTGGACTTTTATGGCTATGTTGCCTGGCCCTTTTCTCAGCAAGACAGCAATGGAAAAAGGGTGCAAGCCTTGCCTTTGCTTCCTGTGGTACTCCCAGGGGTGGACCTCAAAGCTGGGAATTGCAGGTGGGAAAACTTGCTGTAGCTAGAAAGTGAAAACAGAATTCAACTCCAGGTCTCTGGAAATGAAGGGGTAATTCCAAGATCACTAGATTGGTCAAGCAAAAGTATTTCTGAACAATTCATTAATAATGAATAATGTAATCAGCTGTGCTGTTGCAATCAGTGGTTTTTTTTTTTTCAGCACATATGTGTCATCAATGATCATGGCAAAGCAAAATACAGAGTCTGAAGCAGTAACATCCTCACCTGAAGATCTGTAAGCCAGTGAAGCAGAAATTTGACTACACTCCCTCAAGCATCTCCCAGAAGAGCGGCTCAACTGACTTGTGTTTATTTCAACTCAATATAATAATGGGTTTACTCTAGAGATACTGATTAATATTTACAGAAGTGAGAGCTCTTATCTAAAATGTGAAGTAGAAGGTTTTTAAAGTTACTACTTTTTAAAGTATTAAAATTACTACATAAGATGCCTTTTTGCTAATAATTTGTCTGCCTCAAGTCTTGCTGTGAATGCATCTTTTCTTCCCTTAGTCCATCATTCTACCCATTGCAAATCACTGTGTTGCATGACATCATTCAAAAATGCCATTCTGTGTGTGAAGATTATTTACCAGAATTTTATTGACTTCAGCATCCCTTTAGACTTAGTCAGATATGCTGCTGCCAAATTGAAAATTTTATTTTTATTTAATTCCACAATTCAAAAGTTTCAGCTGAAGGTGTATGTTGTATGATAGTACCTTTCTAGCAGTTCATTACACTCCCTTCCAAACAGAAGTTTTAGCTCTCAGAATGTGCTGAATTAGAGTGCTGGTACAAAAAGAACCTTTGCAAGACACTGTTGATCTGAAATTGGAAGTTATAATGGTTTTGGTATGTCATGTAGCCATAGATCTAACCTGTTTAATGTGCTGAATTTTAATCAAGACCAAACAATGCCAGGCAGGTTTCAATTTCTGCATGGTATCCTCTTACTTCTGTAGGACACAAACAAATTAAAAAAAATAACATGGTATTCTCCTGAGCATGTATTCTTAATTAAACCTCATTAAGCACAAAAGTTTGATGCTAGGCAGACAGTTATTCAGTTATGATTTGATTTTTGTAGCATGTCTAAGTTGAGACTTATTGATGAATACTGTAGACTCTAGAGATTCCTTCCTTCCCTTTTAAATCATGTTTGAAGAAGTTTGATAATTTACATGCTACATTAAGGGTGAAAAATTTAATTCTGTACTGTATGTAACTGTTCTCAACTTCCCAAGGGAAGCCAATGCAAAGTAAGTAGCTGTATATCAATAGCTTTGCTCTGAACTGTAAAAGGCAGATTGTTATTACCTTCAGGTTCCTTTAGACTAATAAACATTAAGAACACTTGTTACATTGCACAGCTGGTTATTTTCCTGCTTCAGCATATTTCACACATCCCATAAAAGCTCTTCAAAAAAGTGCATTTAACTGTTAATCTAAATGTACCTTATGCATGTATTCTGTGTCTCACAAGCTATTTTTACTTGGATAAAATCCATTATGTTAATGGAATGAAGAAGAGCAAAGAATTATTGTGATTGCTAGAGAAATGCTTTATCCCTCTCTTCTTTACTCTTCTAACATACATTTTTGAAGAGTTTTGTTGAAAAGCTTTCACTCATAGAAGAACTTTCTTCTGTTTTAGAGAAGAAAGCACACACATAGAGCCCCTGGAAGAAGCTGGTGAAGAGTTTTATCGCTTTTTATTTTATGAGTGTGTTTTTCTTAATGCCTCTGATTTATCTGGATTTAGTAGTATTGGCCCATTGTGTAGGCAGACATGCTTAGGTTTAGGCTTAGTCCAGGAAATCCATTAGGTTATTTCCTTTTAAATCACAATCCAGTTTGCCTTGCTACAATGACCAGCCTTCAGCAACAATGACAACAAAAAGGTAGCAAGTGATTTAGTGTGAAATTAGTGTGAAAATATGAAGTACTGTAGATGCACATAATTCAGACTGTTGAAGATGTTTCACTAGAAGATTCAGGTTATTAAAATCTACATACTTAATAGAAAAGACCAGATTTAAAGAAAATGTAAGAAGTCCTCAAATGTTTGTTCAAATTAATTTTATTTCCTCCTGCCATTGTATTTTTAATATTGTGAAAAAGCACCATACAGATTTCACTGGTGAATTTCCATGTACAATTATACTGTGAATAAGAGAGGTTTTTCTCTTCTAATGTTGTATTTGAGTTTTGTACCTTTATACATCCGAGCATGTCCAGATGTCTCAGTTTCCATCCACATTACTCTTTGCTTGAAGCACTTCCATCTGAAAAATTAGTCTTCAATTACTTTAATAATCAGATTCCAAAATATCATTAGTGTAACTGAGGGAACAGGTAATTATGCATATATAGCTGATTAATATTGGGTCACATTTCTTCAGTATGCTCAGATAGTTTCAAAAAATCATATGTTTTTTCTGTAGCTCTCTCCTGGTTCAATAATAGTGTTGATTCCGTTCCTTTAATTAAAAGGCCACTAAACATTTTTTTTCAGTTGCAGTTGCACCCTATGACCCACAAAGCAATGTATTTTCTTTTTAAATCGGTTTTTTAGCAACATCTGTAACTGAATAAGAGAGGGTGTTCTTTGGAATCATTTTCCTGGGCATTGTGTTTATGTACTTGGTGGGCATCCATTTTTATCTCTGTTTTTCTTCTCATGGACTCTTAACACCAACATCGTTTTCCTACCTGTTGAATACAAATTAACATGGGCAGTAATTTGGTTAAGTTACATAAAAGTTTAGCAGCCCTCAGGTTTTAGACTTTATTCAGTTCATTCACACTTACATCTGGTCTAGTTCCAAAATATCTGAAAGTGATTTTCTGGAGAGAAAGCCAAAGTAGGCAGAATAATTCCTGCAACCTGGTTAACTGAATATAATTTAGGATTTCATATTACAAAGTATAGATGTGGTCTGAATATCTAGTAGTTTCTGCTTAAAAAATAGAATTTAAATAGTCTAAAACATCTGTAATTAAAATATTTTTTCAGTTCAAGTAGCTGCTGCTTTCTTGTATTTATAGTTGAACAAAGCAGAAAACAGTGTCTAGTTTTTTGATTGTTTACTATTAGTGTTATATTTCCTGACCATGTTATGTTAATCCTCAAAGTTTTATTATTATATTGCTATAATATAAAATTCCCACATTTCCCCCAAAATACAGTATTCACTGTATGTGATATTCAGCTGCAGAAGAGTTTCTGATCTGTGAAAGAGTCAAATCATCACAGTTTACACACAGTAAAATGCTTAACTGGTAGATGTACTTATGTCATGAGTCATCATTATTGCTCTGTGGTGGGAATAACATTTATTTCAATAAAAAGATTGTCATTTTAAATTTTAATATTTCTTTAGACTGAAGAAGATAAAGGCCAGCTTCTCTGCATATATTTGCATTTTGATTTTATCCAGATAGAATAGCAGTGAAAAACCTTATTGTAGTCAAACTTGTACACTTGCAGACTGTAATTGACTCTAGCTACCTAGAAAACGTTAATTTCCAGTTTCGGTTAAAAATAATATGAGAAACTCAAAAGAAAAAATTACAAGGTAGCATAGCAAGAGATAGAAGAATCTTTTCCATTTTGTAAAACCATCAAATTTGGGAATGTTTTGCCTTGTTTTACCTTTTAAAATGTTTTCCAAAAACTCTGAGAGTCTACATATAAGATCTGCAATGAATGCGATGTCGAAGTGTACTGTGAAAGGTAGCTTAAATTATCTTCCTCCTTAGACTGGAGGGAGAATTTTAGACATACAAGTTAATGTAGATGTGTGTTACCTCAATTTAGTCTTCCAAAAGTTAGCTCTGGCTGTATGCACCAGAGCACACAAGGTAACTAAAGAGGATGAGTTGGCCTCTCTCTGTGCTTATTTCAGTGGTCCCCTTTTGAAATCTCATAGGTGAGAGAAGCAGAGTCTCAAGTACTTTACCCATCCTCTCAAAAAAATTAAAACAAAGTGGAGGGAAAATAAAAGCTTTTCATCCTAATTTAATCCACCTTTCACAATTACACAGGTACTGCTATATGCCTTCCTCTGGGCAGTCAGCCACAGACAGCCATCCCAGTACCTGACCTGACAGTGTTTGTACCACTATGGAATGACGGCTGGGTTTGCCGGGGATTTTCAGAGCAATGAGAACACCAACACATGGCCAGCTAGAAAAGATTGAACACAAGCTACTATACTGTGGGATTATTTTGTGGTGTTAAAAGGATAATTCTTTGTTAAGAAAGAGCAATATTCTGTACCCATCATAAATGATAAGAGGGAAAAGATAACCAAAATAGAGAAGAGAGCACTAACATACCAGAGAAACATTGTCACTTATTTTGCAGAAAAGATGGAGAGCACTCAACTTTTTTTAGAAGGGAAAAAGGAGACATCAGTTCTGGGTGAGGCTCTGTAAGCCCCTTGAAGGTTGTCAGCTGTAGTTCAGGTACTTATTTGTGCTGTTATGAAGTATTGGCTGACACTACCTTCCTTTCTGTTGATAAACTAGTGCTTGGGTTCGTTGTACCTTCACACGAACACGTCTTTGCAGCTGCATTTTTCACTGTTTCCAGTGGTTGTTTTGGAACACAAAGCCGGTTCCAAATCTGCAGAAACTTAGACTCGATTAGTTAAATGCTTTGCTGTCATGCCTTGTTCCTTCTGGTGCTGCACGGAGAAATGAACTACTGGCAAACTACTGGAGTTTGCAGTACAGCGATTTATTTGCAATACTAAGAGATAAAAAAGTTTGGATACCATTCAAATGCTGACCTCTAGTTTGTTTCAGGAGTGGCATGAAAGATTTCCACTTTTTTCCATAGCAGAAAGAGACAGAAATGACTTGTAGTATTGTGATCTAGCAGTCTCTCTTTAGACCTACATGCTTGGGCCTCTGATAATGGTAAGATAATCTCGTTTCTAATGGTGCAAAATTTCATTACATTAAATAATGACTATGCATTCCAAAGTCCATTGGTCTTACTGTTGTAGCTTTGTACGATTGTCAGCACTGTTAAGTCATGATGTTACAGAAGGGACAACTCTATTGCTGGAAGATAGATGTTATGCCTTCATAGCTATTGAATTTGCATAGAGAAACATTGGAATTTAGCTACGATGTTTTTGAAGTGATGCCAGAAAACAGAGTTACCTTGAAGTGCCTTTTTCTCAGTAATTTTCCATTTTCCTAAACTGTTACAATTATTAATCAATTTTCTTCAGATTGCTTTTCTCCAGTTACACTGTACTTTTACGTTGTGTTCTATCCTGGTGTCTTTTATCCAAATTCTTGCCAGTCCTGTAGTTTTTAAATATGACCTGCTGAATGAGTGCAGAGATGGAAGTCTCTCTGCTGAGAGCCAGTTTGGTCCTGGGCCCATTTGTGCCATACGGGAAAGAAGACCATAATAAACTGAAATTGTTTATATTCCTCCAGAAGGCATCTCACATAATAACATGATGCTATTAACTGCATTCAAGCTTTAACTACAAACACCCAATTTAAGCTTT